TAATAAAACTACAAAACTACAAACTATTTTCTTTTTCTTTTTTGGAAAACTGGTAGTATTTGGGTGTCTTGCTTTGCAGTTTATTCCATAAATCTAAATGCAATTCATATGATTATTTCTAACAGAAATATAAAACTATGAGTGATTGTTGACCGTAGCAATTGCCTATTTTATGTCCAACTATATAGACCTCTTAAAATCCAGATATACATAAATCTTTCTACACTAAGGTAAAAAAGCTGAACTAATTTTGTAATAGATGTTCCACCTGGATCACAGCCGTGAGCAATGTTACGTTGGCTTGCAAGGCGGTACCTGAATTTCAAATTCTAGCTTGCATAGAATACCATGACAATGCTGCAAGTAAAACTTCCATTGGTATGACATACATACGCCAAAATTTATGAGTTTTATCCTTATAGTTATCAGGGCAGTGTGTGGTACAAGAGTGAGTAAAACTGATATCCTACTTCAGTGTTTCCCAAACTTGGCAACTTTAAGACTTGTGGACTTCAACTCCCAGAATTCTCCAGCTAGCTCTTCTGGCTGGAGAACTCTGGGAGTTAAAGTCCACAAGTCTTAAAGTTGCCAAGTTTGGGAAACGCTGCACTAGGAAAATAGCCTCCGATTTCTGAACACTTCCCTAACATGAACAACTTGCCTTCAGAAGTTGTGAATGCCCCAACACTAGAAGTTTTTAAGATGTTGGATAACCATTTGTCTGAAGTGGTTTAGGGTTTCCTGCCTAAGCAGGGGGTTGGACTAGAAGAACTTCAAGGTCCCTTCCAACTCTGTGATTTTATTCTATGAGCATTCTGTGGAATGCTGTGAGGCTTCATTAGGAAAGCAGAACAAGTTGTTCCGCAGTTTGTCCGTTTTCCCTAACTCTAACTCCAACACTCTTAGAAAAGTGGGAAGGATGTAGTGGACCCCCAGTGGGGAGGTAAACGGTCAGTCATAAGGGGACTCTGCAGCAGCCGTAACTTCAGGACCAGATTCTAAGCAACTTTGGGGAGGGGGGAGTCTGCCCTAACTTCACTAAACAACCAGTAAGTAGAGGACTATCTGTATATAAATAATATCACACACTATCATTTTCAATAAAGGCTAAAAACCAGACAAAATAATGATAATAAATTGTTAAGAATGTAGAGAGAATTTGAAAAGGAAGATATGGCCATTATCTCTTTTTAATTCTTCCAGACATGTCGTCTGCATGCCATTTAATATTAACCACTAATTCTACATGAGTAACCGATAATGGAGATAGAATTGATTGGCCCATGGAGCTGTTTTATTTTTCTTGGAGGACTTCAAATGTCTACTTTTATTTACATACCATCTTTAATCAGTTATGTGGTAGGATGCAGTTATAGTCATGAGTCATATATGACTTTTTGCTAATTGTTGACATTTCAATGTCCACTTACCATTCCTTTTTTATGTTGTACAATTCCCCCTTCCTCTTTAGCAGTTCTTTCCTGGAAAACCATGTCAAACTATTTTGGGTCTATGCTTATTTGAAAGTTTTTTCCTATATATTTTTTGAAGTCATTAATAAAATATATTTTGCAAAATGTAAAATAAACAGATTTCCTTTTTAAGAATAATCTGGTGTATGATATAGAGCAAAATCAAGTTTTTGACAGTTTGAAATATGTAACTCAGATTAGCAGATCAAATAACCCATAAGTCTTATTAGACTTCAGAACACCAAATTGCAAGGCTCGGACTCAGTCTGAGAATATATCTAAGAAAATGCATTAGAGATTCTTGATTGTGTACGTTAGCTATTATGTACTATTATTAACAGCTTCCTAATTGCCATTACTACAATGTCTGCTGTTCAATGCATGCCTGAGCTTCATTCTTGAATTTCAACACTAATGCACTACTTGTTTGCCAGCTGAATGAATACACATAGGCTTGGAATCTGTTCCTGAATTCAAGGTTACTTAAAGTAACTATTGGGCCATTAATACACAAAGTGTCATATCGCAACTTGCCATTTCTATTCAGCTGTTTGGAAAACCAGCTGTGAGCATTCCAGTTAAAATTAATCACATTACTTGATGCACATTCTTCTCAAGATGTCTGATGAAGCAATTACATAAGATGTCTGTGGGTGGGTGCATAAAACAGACAAGGAACAATATACTGAATGAACAAGAAAACCATAATAATTTACATGAATAAGCAAATTATGTGGCCACATGTAAGGCTGCATCCATCTTAACACAGAGACCCCCAACCTTTTGGGTGCCAGGGACCAGTTTCATGGAAAGAGTTTTTTTCCACAGAGGGAACATGGTCAGGGATGGGTTCCAGATAACACTATTACCGGTTTGCTTATGTGCACGCTTCATGCGTATGCTTGATGCGTGCTGCAATTAAAATTGTTCTGCACATGCGCAGAACTGAAAAACAAGATGGCGGCCCTAACAGTGCCAACCGGGAAACTGGTTTGGCGGCGTGGCAGGTCTGGGTCGCTGCCGGTTCCAGCAAACCAGGCCACCAGACAACTACTGGTACAGCCGAACCTGTCTGAATCGGTAGGAACCCACCACTGGGCATGGTTGCGTGTGCTGTCTGTGTCCCAGGGGCTGGGGGTTGGGAACCCCAATTTAACAGATGGACTTTTAAAGATGTGATTCATAAGAATGCAGACATATAAAGGATACTTTTCAATAATTTTATTCGGAAATATATTCCACTTTTTTAGCACATACTAGATTGCAAATTGTACGCATTGCCACAGATGCTTACTTGGGAATTAGTTCTGAGTGGATTTCATTTTGCATAAACAAGCACTAGATCACTATGTAAAAAAAATCTCACTAGTTTCCCAAAGTAGAACAAATTTACACTTGCCTAATATGCTGTTACTATGCATAATTTGCCATAATAAGCAAAGCAATTGGTAGTCCACTTGATTGAAGGAAAACTGATCATCACATATGAGAAACCACAGATATAGGTAATAGTACCTGTAGCACTAGTCTGCTGTTTAGTACAAACCTTTATTAACCCATGTTCAAAATCCATAAGGAAAAAAGAACCAATCTGGCTTTTTAAAAAAAAATTAATTTGTAATTTTTTCTGGACTATTTTCCACAAAAACATTCATAGTAAATGTGTTTAATTAAGATGCTCCAATATCTTTTGCTGCAACAAACAACGATTATCCCTATGAAAGCTGTTGCAAGGTCAAATAACCATTTTCCAAGCAGGGAAATATTGGGAGCAGCACAAAAAGACTTTGTGAAGATGGTATTTTTGTCCTCCCTTTTTTTTAATAGGTGAACATACTTAAACTATTAGTATTATGTATTACATTTGTACACTGCTCGCTCCCCACAACTCTGAATCGTTTCACCCGGAGGCATAAGAGCAGAACCTGAAAACCGATCTAAGGATTAAGCTGGTAGGGATAATTCTTGAGGGCAACTGAGCTACCTACTTCCTGTATTTAGATGTAGGATCCTGATGCCCCGAATCTGAAGCAGTCCCAGCCAGACCCAGGTTTAATGCAAAAGGACTTCCTGTAATGAAAGATCCTTAAATCAGGACGAAAAAGAGAAAGCGCCAATTGCAAACTTGATCTTCGGATTACACGTGCGAGGAACATTTTGAACCTCTCTCCCTTGCAAAAAAAAAAAAAGAGCCCAGAGATCCAAATATGGATTTCCCTAAACCTCCCTTGTAAAAGGTTAAAACCGCAGTTAAGAGCTTCAAAGAAAGCAAACCAAACTGAGTAAAGATCAAAGGGCCACGTTTTTTACGTGGACGATCCCGATCCACCCCTCCTTCCCCCCCACCCGCCCCCATCTGTCAAATCGTTCCGAGGAGGATTTTTTTCTCCTTTGCTGCTCAGCCGCTCACCATAGCTGAGAAGTTGCTCCGGCTTCCCACAACCACCAGGCCCCCTCGCAGCAGCTGCAACAGCCTCCCCAACCCTGACCCGCGGGGGCTCAGCATGGCTCGGGCGGGCATCTCCGCCCCCTCCAGCCAGCGCCTGCGCCGCGGCCGCCCCAAAGTGTTCGGCGGCCGCCAGGGGGAGCCTCTCGTCGCGATAACGCGCCAGTGCAGCCCTTTGCTGGAGGGTGCAAGTCCATCCTCCCAGGCTGGGTTCCGAAAGTGTGGCGGTCCTCGATTCTCCCCGACGGAAAGCGCTTGACTTGAGCCTTTCCCGGATGCTCGAAATTATCGGCTTGGATTCATCTGATCTTGGATATTCTCAGAGTTGGTCGGGATTGAAAAGCTCCTGCATCCCTTTGGGTCCTTACACTAATTAACGAGGGATCAGCGTTGGCTGATTGGCCATTTATTACTGCAGGCGGCGGCAGCTACAGGTGGCGCGCTTTTACGGAACTTGCAAGGAAAGTTCATAGAAAAAGATTGAAAAGTTGTATTGTCTGAAGCAAGGAAAATATAATTTATCTAGTACTCTTCTGTTTGTACTAAATGCTACAGTATTCTCCGGAGCGTAGAGAGACAGCAATTACTTTTACAAGCAGTCCACCATTCTTTCAGCTCATGATCTGTAATTTTTGTACAAAAATATTCGGCTAGGAGTAAGCAGCAATTTGGTTGTCAAATGTAAGAGGACAATAAAGTATGCCTGTATTATCTCTTCCAGGTCTTGATTCACTTTTGATTCTGTTTTCTATATCTTGTGTGCATTTGTGGCACTTTATATTAGTCTCTTATGCTGGCTTTCCAATTAAGCTTTTAAAACTTGAAATATTCTACCATGAATGGATTTATTATGATGTAACAGTTCTAAAAATCCAGCTGTATTTAATGCAGCCACAATGCCATAACTATCTATGCAACACATTCTTTTAATTTCTGTTGATTCAAACTCTTACAAACACAAACATCAAAACAAAAATACCATTAAAAAGGCAGTGTCCATGAAATTATACATTTACACCCATACTTAATTTAAATATCACAGTATCGTGCATGAAATTATATTTCCTCTTTTCAACCTACTGTGACATTGTTTTATGTCCTTTTAAAATACTGAACTATGTCTTAGTTTCCAGTATAAATGACATGAAGATTAGGACCTATTAAATGTTTTCTTAATTCTAACCACTTTAATCAAATACTGTGATCAAAGCACAAATATGAAGGTGTCAGTAACTTATACATTTATTAAATTGCATTCAATTTTCAAAAAGTGTACCTCATTAAAGCCAAGATGTTTCTAAACCCAATTACCACTTAAATATGTTATTTTCTTTCTACAATCTTACACACCTGCAATTATTTTCAAAGTATGTAAGAACTTATAAAATAGGAAACAGAAATATATTCACTCTATCAAGATTATCAGGCGTATGTGTGTCTCTGTGTGTGTATTTTTTCATTTCCATTAAAATGGATTCTGCAGAGTATAGACTCTATAGGGTAAAGCTGCCCATCAACATTTAATTAACAACTAGTGTTCATTGTTTACGTTAAGAAATTTCTTCTGAATCATAATGTGCCATATTTAATATGCAATAAATGTAACAGGACTCGAGTTCACAAGACATTGAGGAATTCACATGTTTATCAACTTATTCTGAAAGCAGACAGTACTGAAATCACGTATCACTCCTGATGCTCCTGGTCGTGACCAGGTATTAACCAACGGATGCTCTCTGTCTGAATAGTAGCATACATGATGAAACTGATAAGAAACAATAAAGAAAACAAGAGGAGCCAATCTATTCCTTTACTCTGTGTGCTAGGCAAGGGACCAACATGATCTTCCGTGCTCACCATCACATCAGATTTAGGTTGTATACCTGAAATGAAATATCCAATTATTACTTTGATGCAAGGTGAAGCATCGTAAATCATACTTAGCTATTTGCATGTATAAACCTCCATTTTCTATTTTGAAAATAGCATACTAGTTATAATCTGCTAAGACGTTTACTATACTTTAAAATTTATTCACTGAAGTAAAAATATATTTCCAGTAAACTATTAATGTTACATATTTGATTCTTTGTGGGCTACTTTATTTTCATTTCATTTGTTAAGAACTCTTGCAGCCTGTTTTATCTCTTCATATTACCAGGGGAAGGTACAGAAAATAAACAGGCAAACATTCTAATCTAAAAACATATTAGTGCCATAAACAATAACTCCTGCTGTCACAGAGGAACTGAAATATATATACATAACCAACATTGACCTTTGATGCCAAGGTATGGTTACATTATCCAAATAAGGCTACTGAAAAGCAAATAATAGGATGTCACGGTCCTCGGCTGAACCAAAATCACCAGAAATAGAATATTATTTGTCTAGCTAGGACTGCTATCTTATTGTGTATTCATCCAAAATCTTAGGTCTTGATCAACCATAAAACTGCTTCCCAGTACCTTCCTAACTGGAGACAAAACAATGTTGTTCCTGGAAATAGTATTTACTAGTTAGATAGTGCTATATCAGGCTATGAATTATCCCGAATCATAGTTCATCTTACCGGTCTGATTAAAAATAAATGCTTTCAGTGTTTCCAGAGTTCTATCTGTATGGTTAAATCTTGCCATTGGCTTAGCGCCTTGAAAAAGGAGGATGTTAGGAACAGCCACAGTTCCAAAGCGAGTTGATAAACTGCAAAGAGTAAAGTAGAAGAATTAATTTTGCTAAACAAATTTCTCATCTAAATTTTAAAAAACTAGTTTTCAGTTATACTTCATTAAACTAGAATCACCATGTATAACAAAAACAAAAAAAATGAAGGTCCTGGAGTAGGGAGCAGTGGATGGTCAGAAAGCATTTTCTGCCCTCGTGTGTCATTATTACTTTATTATATTACATTATTATTATTGTAAACTCACGTTATGAATGTATAAATTAAACATAACAATTATCATTCAGAAAAGAATAAAATTTACCTGCTATGTTGGGAGGCATCCAAGGCCAAGAAATTTAGTGCTGGGAACACTCGTGGCAGACAATTAAAATGAGGAGCCAAATTGGCAGAAAAACGACACCAAGGGGTATAAAATAAGACCAAGGTGCAGTCACTGCCATTTGGATTTAAAAATTCCATTAAATCCTAAAATAGAGATTAAAATATTAATTTTAAAAAGCAAGTGCTACTCAGAAAAGCAATGAAGTGCCTCTACATAATGGGTGTCAAACTTGATTGTGTCATGGGCTGGATCGTGATGTATTGTGATGGTTTTTGCCTCTACGGAGCGAGGGTGGGTGTAGCCTACATGTGACGTATACAGCCCGTGGGGCACCAGTTTGACAGGTGTGCTCTACATAAAAGTTCTAACTAGCCGTTCTATTATAAAACATGTTTCAAATTTAAACAATAAACATAGTATGTATTATAATTACATGTCATTAAGTCATTGTCAACTTTTAGCGACCACATATTTTCTTATGATGACATGTAGAATGAATTTGAGAACTTTAATTTCCTAATTTCAAAAGTAAATATGCATACTAGCCAGCTAGTTTATTAAATAGTTTAAATATCAGTCATTGCATAGTTTCCTGCAAAAACAAAGACACAATCAACCCCATAAAATCCTGTGATAGTTTTGATTTTGACAATAGTTTTCAAGAGTAAACACCTAACAGAAAATCCACATTCCTTAAAACCAAATAATGTGATGTATCATGTGTGATGTATCAAATTAAACACTATCTAAATCCAGTAATGTCACACTGAAGGCAACAAAATGCCTTTGGAATAGCAATCAATATGCAGAACTACTTTGCCTCCAATATTGCAGATAACGTTCACTTTTTTATGATACCTCAATTAAGCATTCTATGAAATAAGTACTATCCCTCATAGACATTTTTCTTCTTTACAATTTTAGGATCAATGCATTTCGAGATTAAAGTTGACATCAGTTGAAATACCAGTCTTCAGATTTCATGACAAAAAGTTCAGAAAAAAAAACAAAATAGAATCCACCGTCTTTATTCTCAGAATCATTTTACATGGTTACACCTCTCAAGTTGCATAGCATTGTGCTCTGTAGATTGCTGACAGTAAGAAAACTATATATATCCCAGTAAGGGTATGGCTAGCTGATGAGAGCTAAATAGCTTGAAATAGATCTATACTAGTCTCCCTTTATTTATTTATCAGCACAAACACACACATATATGTGTGTGTGTTTTTTATTTGTGCTGATAGATAAATAAAGGGAGACTAGTATAGATCTATTTCAAGC